TTGCCTTAAGATAAAATGTTCTTGACAATATAGTGTATGTATCAAAAATACGAATATTACGGAATGATCATATGTAAGCTTGATTAAATAGTTCAATCTCGTGTGAAGCACAGGTAATTTACCTAGTATATATATATATATATATATATATTTGGGGAAGGTGAATGCAATGATAATAGGTGTATAATAAATGTATAATTCATATATCATGAATATACACCAACTATACACAATTTAATGGTTATTCATCAATTATACATTGCATATTTTTAAATATATAAATTGAATTTTACTTCAGTTATACACACTGCAAATGCAATGTATAATTAGTATATGTATATATATATATTTTAAAAACTAATATATAATTAGAAACCAAAAGTACTAGTATATAATTAATAGATATTAATATTTTTGATCGAGCGATCAAATTTTGTAACTTTGCCTTTATATTATCCTTTTGTTGATTTCCACCAACCTTTGCAGCCATATATTATCACATGAATTAATCAGATATGAAAACTCAACCATCATAATTTCAACAAATATATTAAGGTGCAATAAATAGTGGACCAGTATGAGAATATTACTCTCTCCATCATGTTAAATTAACTCTCTAATAATATCATATTATAAATGATAGTAAAATAATTAAAGTTTTCTTTTGATTAATGTTTTTTTTAACAAACATGTAAAAGAGAAATATGACAGATAATTTGTGACGAATAAATCAAATAATATTTAAGCCGCTTATATAAAAAAACTTTGGTGGTGTCACAAATGTAATTTCAATAAAACAGTAATTCATAATAAATCGCCATAAATAATTTCAATCTAATAATATCACGCCAACCCTATTAAAACTGGTGACAAATAGTGATAAATAGTATATATTTATCAATCACCCAAATAATTTACTTCCTCCTGTTCTTTTAAAATGATTTTATAATGTGTCGCACATTTATTGAAAATTTTACTAGTTAATATACAAAGTTGTTCACAATTTATTATAGCAACAGTAAGTTCATAAAAAATAAAAATAATAATAAAAAAGCTTTCTTGATATATATAATAACAATAAAAATGACAATTATTTTGAACTGTTTTTAATCGACTAGAAAGTCATTCAAAAGTGACATGAGGAAATAGTTAAATATACAGTAAAAATATGAAAAAGTGTTTGGTGGGGGTGGGGGGGATTACACTTATATATGATTAATAACGATTTATATAATCGATTCTAACTTAATTTGGACGGAGGAAAATTAATGTTGTAAATAAATAAATAAAAATTGAGAAGATGTGTTTAACATGACCTATTAATTTCATGTCATTAATTAATAAATAAGCCCATCATGATACGTAACTCTTGAATTTATAATGGATAGCTATTGAAAATTAATATGAGTGAGGTTTGGATTTGTTAGAAAATTTAGTTGGAAGCTTTAAATACTATGTTATAAATTTTCTTGTGTTTTGTATGTATTGTGTATCTACAGATTTACCAAGAAAACACACACAAACACACAGTGACAATTGTTATATACACGTAGTCGAAACCAGAATTTTAACCTTATAGGTTCTGAATCAAGTGTTAATATCTGAGTTCTAAATTAAATATTAGTACATATTTAATAAATTATTAAAATAATAATACTATTTAAGTGAAAATTATTAAATTCGATCAAACTCGAATCTGAACTTCTAGATCTGCTCCGATATATACACCTTTTTCACTATTGACCAACTCTCTTTAGCATGCAATGAATGAATCCTCTCTCCCAACCCCCCTTTAATTTTCCCAGCACTGTATGCACTTAATAGTTTTAATTGCAAAATATTTACTCCAATTTTCCTTTTTCAGCAAACCATCTTGGCATTTTTCCAACCATTAATAAATTTACAACCCCTCAATTTAAACTAGCAAATTTTTATGGTGAGGTGGCAAACTCTTTTAGTTACGGTTTCAACATAATTTAATATTTTTTGCTATTTTTTTTTATACATATAAAATAATAGCAAACAAATATAATTGTGATTCAGAACTCATAAACTAGAAATTCTGGCTTCATTTTTAAGTAAGTATTCCTTAATTCTTGATCAAAGACTTCGAATTTGAGCTTTCACACGTCTTTGGCACGTAACGTCTTTTGCACGTAACGTCTTAATCAACACTAAAAATATAATTTTTTGATATGAATCTGAATTAATATGATCTAAAAATGGATATCGGACACTGAACAGGAAAATGAAAATAATTTATTCATCTTTCAATTAATTCATTCAATTGATTTATTGTCAACTCCCTCTCTCCCTCTCTTAATATCTCTCACTAAAAGTCTTACTTGTTCTCCAACCCCTCTCCCTATAATTTAATTAAGCTTTAAAAGCAATCTCATCTCTACCTTCAATAGTTCCCATTATATAATATGGCCTTTTACAAGTCCAAAAATCATCATCTAGGACCACAAAATAAGTATAACTAATTGTTTATCTTAGTGGTGGTTCCAGTCATATCTCCTCCGTACTCCGCCGTATCGTTCCGACTACAAAAATCCCTCACTTCCGATCTCAAGGTATTAAAAAAATCTTGTTATTCTTTTCGATTCCTCAATTTTTGAAATTTTCACATCGTCAAATATTGTTTTACCTGTTATAACAAGTTACTTATTATGTTCTTCATATTCCCTATAAAAAAAGTTATTTAAAATTATAATTTTAAATGATGTGATATCATATATATATATACTGTTGTTTTAGTTCAACTCTTTCTTTTGGGGTCTTTGATTTAAGAAATTTACATTATTAATGTGATTTTACTTGTTATAACAGATGAATTATTATTTTTTAAGTGAATGACTTGATATCGTAAAAATTCTTTATTTGATTAATTTTTTATTTTTTTTTTGGTTTGATTTTAGAATGAGCAGGAGAAATGGAAATGGTTCAAGGCTTGATCTAAAATTGAATTTGTCACCACCACCAAGAGTGAACCACGTGGCGCCACAAGTGGAGTCGCCGACAAGGTCATTGACCATGTCCCCGACGAATTCATGTGTGTCATCTGATGATTCGTCGGGGGGTCAACGTGGTTCCAACAGCCCCAAAGCGGTGACTTCGATGCTGTTGGTTGGTTGTCAAAGGTGTCTTATGTATGTTATGTTATCGGGAGTTAATGATCCACCAAGGTGCCCAAAATGCAAGAGTACTTGTTTGCTTGATGTTATGTATGAGAAAAAATAAGAAGTATTGAGTCGGTCAAGATCAAATCCATCAAATTCTCATATTATTACTAGTTTATCAATATCGCCGTCCTACCCCCACCTTAAAAAATATATATATATGAAAAACTAAAACCTTTGTATCGCTTTTTTCAACTTTCTATAAATAGCACTATATGAGCTCCATTTTGACTTTTTTAAAAAATATGAAAAAAATGAAAGAAGGGAAATTTGGAGCTTCTATAGTGCTATGTATTATTTTATTTTTATTTTTATGGGTTGATGAAGTTCTAGGTTAATTAGGTTTGTTTCTAGTCTAGGAAAGTATGGTGATCTTGGAAAATTAAGTAGAAGGGAGTGTTTTATTAGTGTTGGTTTGTTTAAGGTATGTTCTTGTTCTATCTTTAGAAAAAAGACTATGTAAAAGGGCCAAGTGAAAAATGGTCATGTTTTCTTATGGAAAAAAAAAAAAACTAATGGTAGTTTTTTCAAGAAATGATTTCTTTTGATGTTGTTTAACTTTATTTATGTTAATATTTTGAAATTTTACTTGCGTGCGAAATTTATAATTTTATAATAATGATTACTTTTCGATTACAAGAACTGAAAAGATGCGAAATTTGAAAGTCTATAATAATAAGTGATTTTTTATTATAAAAGCTGAAAAAGATGTTTACTTGCGTGCGAAATTTATAATTTCATAATAGTGATTAATTTTTTATTACAAGAACCGAAAAAAACTAATCATAAAATAAAAAATGTTGTGTCACTTTCAAATTTTCAATCTTGTTGGTCTAATTTTCTTCCTTATGATATATCTAGTCTTAAAACCCCCTTTGGCCCCTTTATATAAACCTTGTAGTGGGGCCAAAATTCTAAAAATCAATTGAAAATATATACACCACAAGAAATTTATAATATTCATTATTAAGAAAAAGCTGGATTTGTTAACGAACAAATTTTATAGTAAAATAGTAAAATTCATCACTAATTTTATTTAATGATAAATTAACAATTTTTTGTTACTAACGAAAGAGCGATAGATTAACAATGAAGTTCATTGAGCATTGGAAATCAAAGATATCAATTTCTAAAAGAATTAAAAATTTAGGGTTAAGTAATGTGAGAAGTTCGATGTATATAACATCAATGGAAAAGTAACATGTTGCACATTAAAGAGTATTAAAGGGTTGATAATAATTAATAATATATATATATGACATTATTATTCAAATTTATAATCGTATAAATACAACTAATTAATGTGATGGTAACAATACCTATATGCAGAAATAGGAGGGGCTGGATTGATCCTTATTTTATTTTTTTAATATTATGATATTATTGCATAAAAATCATAATATCTAAATGCTAATAACAGTTGAAATTAAGGGTATTTTTTTTTTGTCAAATAAATGGAAACAATAATTGAGACGGTTGAGATACAGAGGTCATTGCTTCATATGATTAAATACAAATTAAATGTTTGTGCTAAATTCATGATCAAGTACTGTTATAATTTGTTATTTCCTCCAATTTATTTTACTTGTCATCGTTATCAAAAATAGATTATTCAAAATAATTATCATTTAAAAAAAAATTAAGATATTAAAATAGAAATAATTTAATTATATTATCAAATCTGTTAATATTTTTTAAAGACATATTTTTTTTAAAATGATGAGTAAAATAAATGAGTATCAATTTTTTCCCCCTTGAATTGGGCATTTAACTCTTCCCTTAATGTCCCCCCTCATTTAATTCTGTTTCTACTCTCTTCCTCATGACTAAAGCCGTAAACTAACCACGTGGTGCATCGGATGAGGTTGTCCTTTCCTTAATTAGATGTTTCATATTCGAGCTATGAATATAGAAAAATTCTTCATAGAGAGCACTCCCCCCTTCCCCCAAATGGTGCCCTACCCAGTGGAAATCCAAAATACTCAAACTCTAATGCGGATATCGAACACTGAGTGAGAAACCAAAAAAAAAAAGGATGGTAAACTAATTGTGATGGGATAATAAGTTAGTATATCTTTTTGTATTTAATTAGAGTTTCTAAGTTAATTTCTTAAAATAAAAATATCTTACTAAAACGCGTAAAACTTGCTAGCAAAAATTTTAATTAATCAAACTCACAAGCAGATACAAAAGATCATGTGAAAAAAACAATCCTTGCCTTTCTCTCACAACTTTTTCTAGTGTTGCGATTCATTTTCATATGCTACAATTAAACTATCTTTAACTTTTGAAAGAAACCTGCATCAAGACTCTACTAATCAATGAACACAAACATACAACTACAAAGATTTGAGATTGTATTAAATAGAATCAGACTTCTCAATAATAATAATATAATAAATAAGTGATTGTTTTGTTATAACAATTTATAAATATGAGAACAAACCACGATATTACAGAGAGTTTTAATTATATATTAGAGCAGAACTCATAAATACAGAGAGGTTTAATTGTCCTTTCTTGATTTGTCAAAATGAACAAGTAAATAGGGACATCTAAAAGAGGAAATAAGGACAAGTAAATAGGGACAGATGGAGTATTACCAGAATTTTTTTTAATTAATCGATCTCGAAAGTAGATACAGAAGTTCATAGGGAAAAAACAACTCCCATCTTTCTCCCACCACTTCTTCTAGAGTTGCAATTCATTTTCACATGCTACAATTAAACTATCTTATCTTTTTTGAAAGAAGCCATCAAGACTCTACTAATCAATAAATGCAAACACAATTAACCACAAAAGGTTTTGAAATTGTATTAAAAACATTATATATAACGCATAATCAAATCTTTCATGCTATGTCATTATTTTATTATAACAATTAAAAAGTATAAGAACAAACGACGATATTACAGAGATATTTAAAAAGTATAAGAACAAATGGCGATATTATAGAGAGGTTTGATTATATCTCAGTGCAAAGCTCATAAATACACATTAATGTGAGGCTAATATAGTCAAGATTGGGCCACTGATAGAGGGAACATAAATGCTAGTATTTTCAAGTTGATGTAACAAATTGTAAGCAGAATAAATCATGGGACAGAGAGGATGAGATTAGTCAGGTTGTATTTCTGTTACATTTGTCCTATGATATGAATCAAAAGACAATTGAATTCAACCAATCATGTCACCTTTCATTCTAATGCTACCTAGTAACAAACATATATTATGCTTTCTTACAATTATTACCCCTACATTACTTGTTATGTTATGTTTTTGTGTTAAGCTATATAAATTTAGATTAATAATTAAAAAATTTGTTTATGTTTGGATGAGTTAATAATTTGAGTCATTTAGTTCAATCCACTATAAAACAGGATTAATATGCAATTTAGATTGAATCACGAAAAAATTGGTCTAATTTCTTTTTTAAAATTGTTTTTTTTATATACTAGCTTTCGAACACGTCCGTTGCACGTGTATCTCTTGCTAATTAGTATTAATATATATATTTTGAGATGATAGAAATTAATAATATTCAAGTATGTATGTGATCAAAATTCTTAGAGGAAAATACAAGTACGAATAAATGAATGATTAGTTTATTAGATTGATATTTATTGTCATAAAAAAACACTAAGTTCATAAAATTGTTTTCATTATGAACGTGAGAATATCCTTTATTTTCGAGAGATGAAATATGAATTTGGGGTTAAAAAGAGTTTCTTTTAGTACCTTCTTTTAATATCATTGGATCAGAATAGTGAATGAGCAGAAACCAAGTTTGAGTGAAACATGTATCTCTTGCTAATTAGTATTAATGTTTTAAAACGATATAAATAATATTGAAGTATGTATGTGATGAAAATCCTTAGAGGAAAATACAAGTACGAATTAATAATTGATTGTAACACCCTGCTATTTGAAAGAGCTAGAATTAGAAAGAACCTTTTTTTTTTGGAAAGAATGAAAAATCTGAAATTTGGCAAAGTTATGTTAAGTATGGGTTTGGGGTCACCTTCAAATGACCATAACTTCCAGTGCAAGACGACTTAGGTGGGCCATAAGATATCAAATGAAAGGTCTTTGAATTATCTTTCCAACGCCACCGACTTTGCTAATTTTTGAGCTCGTATGAGGGATATATGACTGTTCGAAGTTGGTCTGTCTAGATAAGGAAAGTTAACCGGATTTTAAAGGGGTATTTTGGTCTTTTCCGTACCCAATTAATTTATTTCATTTTTGGTAATTAAGTAGGGGTCTAAACTGAATTGGTTCATTTTATGCACTCAAAGATTTCACGCTAGGGTTTCTAGAGAAAGAACTCAAGAGGAGAAAGGAGAAGAAAAGGTCAAGATTCGTCAAAGTTCTTGCGATTTGGTTGTGGATTTTGCCAATGGTTAATCCCTACGAGGTATGTGAGTTCACTTAGTTGGGTTCATTCACCCACGTGCCAATATGTTTAATTCAGCGTGAATTCGTCCTAAAAAGTTGAAAGTTTGAATGTTCTTGATGTGTGTTCTTGAATTGCTTTCGTTCTTGAATTGGGCTGAGATTAAGGAGTTTTCTTGAGATTTTAGTGTCGATTATTAGAGTTGTTTGAGTTAGATTCTTGTGTACATATTTTAGGTATGTGAATCTAAAGAGAAATTGAGAAAAATGATTGAATTTAATTGAATTAAGATCAGAAAACGAGTTGAAAAATTCGTCGGGAACACCTGGGAAAGGGCTGGTGCGGTGCGCCCCAGATGCACCAGAGTGGCTGGGGCGGCGCGCCAGCAGTGCGCCAGAAAACGCTCTCTGAACTTTGGGGCTGGCGCGGCGCGCTAGCTAGGGGTGTACAAGCCAAACCGTAAAGTCAAACCGAATTGACGAACCGATTTGTGGTTTGGTTGGTTTGGCAGTTGAAAAAAAAATACTTTGTTAATATATTTTTAGTTAGTTTATAGTTTTCAATGTTTATATATTTTATTTCAAATTTGGGCTTGTAAAAATAGTAAATATTTTATTTTGTATTAAAATCCGAAGTTTCAATTGTATTGTTATAGTTTTTCAAATTCGAAGTTAACAATTTACTTTGTAAATATTTTGTTTTGTATTCTGTTTGCCTCTAGCCTTTAATCTTATTAATTTAACATAATGAACGTTGATATTTCCAAAAAAAATATTTCTACTCATGTGAATTTTACCATCTTTTCAAAAATTTCTATTCATTTAACATTTTTTAAGTTTAGCTTATCACACAGGTAAGTGAAAAAATATTTGATTTTTTTTTCAAATATCGTATAGTTGTAAAAAATCGAAAAACCAAAAGAACCAACTAAAGTCGAAACCAAAAAAACTAACTTTATGTGGTTTAATTTAGTTTTTAGATTTAATAAAC